CCTTTAGCCACTAGACAGATAATGCTTGTCTCATTCTGTATCCCATGTGTGATGATCATCAGACTATTAGTTCATGTCTGCCACACTACCATTCAACCTCGTGATATTAGTGAGGTTAGCAAAGAATTTATTCTCACGAGCCACATTATGTACAGAGGGGATTCCTGCCGGAGGAGCTGAAACGAATTGTATATAGTTCATGTCTGTCCTTGTGATGTAAGGTGGTACTTCCCATGCAATGACACTGATCTGACTGCCATGACAATATAGCATGTCACTGTCTCATTTGGACAGGCATGGATAGACAGAGGATATAGAGTTGGTTGTCCCCACACTAAGGATGAATGAAACTTTGATTAATGATGACAAAAGTGTATTATGCTCACCTGTCAGTAAGACTCCGCTATAGAAGATGAGAAAGATTACCATCGCGGTTGACCTTGAAGGGCCTCTCACTTCCCCTCAAAGTGTCAGTTTCTAACTGTCAGAGAAGCTTGACACTTACGACGCCACCGAGAGAAAGCGGTTACGCTGGTTCCGTTGCACGAATGAACTGGAAGGTTATTTTACTGTTTGAGACTGTTGACAGTGCGGCTTTATAAAACATTTTTCGTTTTCTAGTCATTCTATATGTATTAACTAATTATTAACTATGGCTGCTTGTGTAGGGATTCCATCACACAATAATATCTGCACTTAAATGACTAGAAAAGCTTGCTTCGCTTGACAACTTACTTTCAATCATGAATTTGCAGAGGTTTTGTAGCACGTTGAATGTTGTGTAAAATCTGTGCCTGTTTACATCTTGCCACAGTGAGATAAGGTGATTAGATAACTCACTGGCAAGCTACAGTCTTTCATAACCTGGTGGTCTCAAACGTGCATGCCTCAAAAGATTCAAAACCAATACTAAAATCCTAGCCAGTTTAGTTTTTGTGTGAGTGCTTACCGGTTGAAATATGTGGGCAAAAGATTTATTAGTGTGAAAGTTATAAGTATTACATCACATTAGCAATGCAAAGCATGACAGTCGCAGGCGAAAACAAATGCTGTATAGTGATAAGATGTGTACACTTTTAAAAGGGTAAACATTACCACATTTCCGTCTATTTCCGAAAAAAACTTAAAAGGCAGCACTGTCAACAGTCTCATACACAGGGACTTGAGCTGGTGTTTGTGTCTTGTGTGAGTGTCCCTCATTTGAGAGTATCCTCATCTCATACAGTGGGTTGTTCTCCATGTTGTAGTCTGGCTACAGTCTATCACCAGCTGAGCCTAGAACATGGACACCATAAGACTTACAATGTCTGTAGATTATCAGTAAGGCGATGACAATGGAGTGTATTGTGATGACTGCAAGTGCACAAGCAAATACAGCTGGTACTAGCTACTATTCTGCGACATACTGTATGCTGGAAAAAGAGTTTGCTGAAAAAGTGGTTGTTGGCACCCTCTATGAACACCATTGAGTTGTTACTTGGATATATCAATCCAGGTGAATAATTAATTTATCATTCCCTGAAATGTAGGGTTTGGCCAACCACGACATAAGATGAACTTGGTTGTGGTTACAAGTGTATGTGACGTTGACATCTGGACAGTAACGATCAGTTGGTGGTTCCAGAGAGTGGCTGGCTTTTAACTGTAGTACACAGGATTAATTATGCTAGTATCATAGTTGATTATTCCAAACTTCGTATGACAGTTAGCCAAATTAGCAGGAAGACAATCTCCATTGCAGAGTTAGCTACCCCTCGGGTTATGCATGAAGGAGCCGTCCTCTCCGCGGTGAATTAGCAACGCTTACGGTATCACTAGGCGACTTCTCGGTCTCAGGCGAGAACTTTGGGGGCGAAGGGGGGAATCCCTCTTCTAGGTCGAAGCTAACCAGTTCGCGTGCGCAATACAAGCGGCCTGGCAATGACGCAAATATTTGCAGCGCTGGATTCAGTGTATAGCTTGCTACATAATTTTCCAGCAACAAAGATAGGTAGCTATGTGCATTGTTAATCCGGATTAGCGCCGTATATCGCCATCAACACGAGGCAGTGTGATTACTATATTTTTATGCTATGCACTACGATTTTTCGTGCTTCGTCCTTAGCTATTAGAGAGTCGGTAGACTCTCTATAATTATAGGGATGACACGAGTGAAATCTCACGTGATCCGCCTACAAAACGACTAAAAACTCGTTGAGAATGACAATGCATGAGGTGAATGCTGTATCTAGCCCCTGCTTCAAGCACTAGCAGCCCATTAAGCTACTGCTTTCAACAGTTAGAGTTTGTCTATGGTAGCCTATCTACAGCATGCCCATGAACATCACAGTGACTGTAACAAAAAAATAATTGAAAACAAGTGGAAGAATCATTTCTTCAAAATGAAAGGGGGATATAGGGATGGCTTGAAGCACCAAAAATGAAGAAACAAGGGGTCATTACACAGTAAAGATGCACAAAGCTACATGACACCATCCCTATATCTTTGTTTATTGTTTATAAGCAAAGTGTAAAATGAGACAAAGATATAGGGATGGTGTCATGTAGCTTTGTGCATCTTTGCTGTGTAATGACCCCTTGTTTCTTCCTTTTTGGTGCTTCAAGCCATCCCTATATCCCCCTTTCATTTTGAAGAGATGATTTTTCCACTTGTATATGTAGTACGTTATCTGCATAACTGCACCAAATTTTTCAGCTATTGTGATGGGCAAGCCAATATTTTCTAGAACCACCAACTGATCGTGTCAGACTCTCAGCGACTCTCAGTATAGCGGGAGACCACCAGTTAGTGAACGCATACTAAAAGCCAGCCCATCAATTCATAAGTTTCATAAGTTTCATAAGCACGACCCGTAGGGCATTGGCATAGCTACACAGTAGACCACAAATAAAAAGACGAAGAAGAAAAAAGAGCTATAGCGAGAAATAAAAATGACGAGAGGAAATGAGTTAGGTGACAGAAAATGTACGGTTTAGCCTAGAACTTGTCATTGAAAATATTGTGTCCATGTCCGCCTCTTTCAGCTTAGAAATGATTTCATCGCGTGAAAGATGGTTATAACCACGTCAGAATGTGCTAGACATATGTGGTCGACCCACAAAGAGTCTGTACCCAGAGAGGCCCCACAAGATGGACATAAAGGGTCTTTGTAGATTCTGTGGCTGAGCACTTTCAACAGTGTCTGGAGTCCACGTGTTCCCCGAATACCACGATCGAGAGCCAGGTCCCACAGTCGGCACCATGATGGAACGTCGGCAACTGAGGCTATGTATTTTGCCGAGGGATGGGTGGCGGCAGATCTCAGTAGTACATCAAAATCAGACTGTATGATTTCTTTTCTCATAGATTTCACAATACTAGGTGCATCTGTCGGGTTTTGGAGGCACAGAGCAAGGACATTTATGCTCACATCCACCTCCAGCATTCTACATTGTTGTACGATACCCACATTGTAATATACATCAACAATCGCCAGAGAGGTGATGATCCGGCCACTGATTTTGTCATCTGTGCTGGAGAGCAACTTGGCCAAAAAGGTAAGTTTGCGAATCAAAATGCGTGTAGAGACTGAAGGCCACTGCAGCCCTAGTCTCACCACGGTTTTGGAGTGGCGCTTTGGTAGACGAAGGATTCGGTGGCCAATTTCACATTGGAAACTCTCCAGCACTTTGATTGTTGATGAATCCAGGAGCCAGGTTTTGCTCCCATACAGAAGGATAGGTATGATGCATGTTTCGAAGATGCTGCGACCCAAGAGAGGGTTCAGACTTCCATGAAAACGCACCGATGTTACCGAGTGCAAAGAAGGCTTTTCTTATAGCTTTGCTGATGTTCTCGTGAACAGCACGGGAGGCAGACAGGTTCTATCGCCACCAGACACCCAAGCACTTGGCGGCAGGAGCTGTTTCTGTTACGACACCAGCGAGCTCCAACCTTTCCGGGTCCTTTCGATGTCGGGAAACTCTTACAACCTCCAACTTTGAGGCATTAAGTTTTATGTGATTGTCTTCGGAAAATGTTTTGATTTCCCTTGCTTGATCACACATGACTTCTTTAGATGCGGCGGAGGTTCTCAGATCATCAGCATGGATTGCAGCCCCAGCATAGGTTTGGCACACAGAGAGACCACATTTCTTCTCTTTCAGCTGCTTTAGGAGTTGATCCATTACAATCAGGAAGAGGGTGCGGGAGAGAACTGAGCCTTGCTTCACCCCTCTTTCAACAGTAAAAGGTTCGGATAGTTGGTTGTTGACACGAACACGACTTGTTGAGTTGGTGTACCAGTTCTTTATTAGCTTCCACAACTTCCCATTGATTCCAATGTTGAAGACATGTTGTAGCAGAATGGGAAGCTCCACCGAGTCGAATGCTTTTTCTATGTCAAAAAGACAAAGATAGGGCTGACCACCATCTCGAAGGTGATTGGTGAGAGTCTCTTGAGTGGCAAAGATAGCATCCATGCATGAGACACCTTTTTGATAGGCAGTTTACAGCTGATCTGGGAAGCCTTGTTCTTCTAGAGGTGAAGAGAGGCGCTGCAAAAGGATGATTTCGAGAAGCTTTGACAGCACAGAGGAGAGTGTGATTCCACGATAGCTGCTCACCAGTAGGGGATCCTTGCCCTGCCTTTTGTAAATAGGAACAACCAGGCCTTCTTTCAAGCAATCTGGAAGTTCTTCGAGTGTAAGAAGGCGGTTAAGCCAGATTTTCAGAACCTCACCACCGTACACAATGTGTTCTGGAGAAAGACCATCGAGATCTCCGGACTTTCCTAATTTTAGATTTTTCAGAGTTTTTTCAATCTCTTCCACGCATATCTCTGTGTCGAGGAGCTGTTCGTTATTGCCAAAGGATGACGCTTCCATTTCTGAAAGAGCAGCACACTGTTCACTAGATAGTGGCAGATCTGACTGTGCGAGGGAACCAAAAAAGATCTGAAGGTGTTGAGTATGCCACTTGTATCTGTGACGGACTGGCCGTCTACAACAAGTTTTGTACATTCGGTCCTTAGACTTGAAGTTTTGAAGCGTAGGGGGTGGCTTTCTTTGAACAGGCGATCTCTTTCTTGGATTGTTGATCGCTCTTGTCTAGCTCTAGCTATGGCAACGAACTGGCGAACATTTCTTTCTTTTCTTCTGCCAGTGGGCCATAAGAGGGACGACCAGCATCTCTCCATTTTTTCCAAGCGGCTTTGCTGGTTTGCATAGATCTTTGAGCTGATCATCCTTAACAAAAGATCTTTTCTTCTTGGCTTTTTTGTGTGGTAAACACCTTGTTGCAGCATCAATGATACCTTTGGTTAAATACGTGATTTCCCACTGTAGCTCACATGGATACTTTGATGTGTAGCGTGAACAAAAGGTGAAGTTAGAGAGGATACTTGTTCAGCAAAACCACGTACGTCCCCATTTTCAACAGCCCGAGCCCAGTTGATGGGTCTAGTTCCTACTGAGGAACGGAGTGATGCACTTGTGTGTAGTGCTATAGTCATTGAGATGGGAAGATGATCGGACAAATTCAGTGGATGGTGTTGTTGCACCAGACATGATATTACTTGGCCCACCAACGACGATTCTGTTAGGATATAATCCACCATAGAATGCGTGGTACTTAAAAAATATATATAATCTGGACCGGAGACAATATTGCTTATTGATACAGAGTATAGGTTATGGCGGTGAATGCAATTGTGCAGTAAACTTTCACGACCGAAGGACTGGTTTGACTGTGTTAGGTGGACATTGAAATCTCCTGCCAGAATAATTTGGCCGGTGGGCTGAAGTGAACTGATGGCATTTTCTAGATCAGCCAGACATTCCGCAAAAACGTCTGTTGAATGATTACAGCTTGGCAGGTAGACTCCAATGATATACACATTTTCACCACAATTCTCTGGCTGAAGTTGAATGACGCAGAATCTATCTGAGGCGATCTTGGATTCTTGGTCACAGGGGTGATCGGAAGAGACTTTTTCCATCCACCCCACCACAACCTCTTGTGAGTTGAGATTTCTCATTTAAGCGCTTGTCTGGATGAATATCTTGCAACTGATCGAGGTTGAAGGGCCAAAACCAGTGTTCCGATAAGATTATTGCCTCAGATCCGTCGCTTATTAATTGGTTTAGGTATGGGTATGCGTTTGTAAGGCCACGACAGTTCCATGCTGTTAGATTGATTTTGTCGGATGTGATGCTGGGGTCTTGCATGACCGAGTATGACGGCAGAGGGTCAGGCTCTTGGCTACTGTGAGCTGAGAGGGAAGTCCTTTTTCATGTAGGAAAATCACTTCGTTTCTTAGTGTGCTTAATTCACGTCCGATTTCTAGGCGATAATCTGATGTTACGTTTGCCGTGGACAGATTCCGTAAAGACGATATGTCAGACCGTAGTTGACGGATTTCATCTTTCATTTCGCTCATGTCTCGTGATATTAGCAGGTCAGAAACTGTTGATCTCGAGGGGAACGTGGCATGATTAGAGGACTCTGGTTGCGTTGCAGACGAGGACAAAAGAGGGGGTTGAGATGTGGGAATGGTTTGAGGTGGTACACCTATACTTTGGGTGGTACGCTGCTGCCCAGGGTTGCGGTCTACTTTGGTCCGTCAGTTTGTCTGTCTGTCTGTCAGTCTCTCTGTTACCACGTTTTCTGCAACCACCGAGACAACGAAAGAGCGATCCCAAAAGGTTAAGCGCTATACTGCCTGGATTGATTTAGCGACTTTCGTATAACTATACTGCGTTCAAAAGTCATGGCGTGAAAAGCAAGTGAACAAGCCAATATGGAAATTAGCACGGGCTTACCTCGACCGGGTCCGTTTGCTCTGTAGTCTGGTGCCCAGACCCTTCACAATATCTGCACGCGTAAACGCATGCGCGAGGGAGGGCGTTTACGTGTGAGCATAGTGAAGGGTCTGGCTATATACGGGCCTGCATATCTCTACATGATGCCGCGTGTCCGTGCCATTCCTGGTTTCTGCAGCTATATCTTGTACGCGGTATTGGCAGGTTAGTGTTGCTGGCTAGGCTTAGTGTCTTGGGATGTCCTAGGAATGTATTCACTGTCCAGGCAATCATGGACAGCCAACTCTGGTGCCACCAACTGGTTATTTCTGTCCCAACGTCAACGTCACTTACACTTGTCATGACAGTAATGTAACAACAATGACATGGCATGCTGAACCTCACATTTCAAGAAGCCTAGGAATCCAGTATGCACCAGGGATTTACCAGTAATGAATCCATGAAGAAATATGACAGTTTCTACACACAAGCTACCAATTTCAGTGTAGATATTGAGACAGAGAAGTTTATCAGTGTGACAACTATTCTGACTGTGATCTCTAGTGGCATAGAGAATGGAACAAACATCACATGTCTGACCTATAGAGGTGGATACCCACTGGTGTCCTCTTCAATTCTCTACTTTGCAGGTAATGAGATAAAGGTAACTGTGATAGCTATTGCTATGCTTCTTTTACAGATCTCCCCCGCTGGAAAAATACCTCAGTGATAATAATATGCCCAGAGAATAACACAGCAGTGCTTGAGCTGGGAGATATGTTTGATGGAGGAGGAGTTCCAATTGATCACTACATTATTCAAGTGGACAACGGCACACAGTTGGAAACTCCAGGCCCCACTTACAGTTTTGACATCATGTACAATACTACACTGTCAGTGAACATCTCAGCCCACAACTGTGCAGGATACAGTGATTTCTTTCCACTTGAGATACAGTATCATCAAGGTAGAGTTGTTTTGTGAATTATGATTTTACCTAACACCATACTCAACAGATTCAGTGGAGGATGGTACACCCAGTATGACACCAAGACCAGTCACTGATAGTTCATCTGATGGTTCCTCAGTTCTTGTGATTGTGGTACCTGTATCAGTTGCTGGGACACTTTTCCTAATCACAATATCTGTTGTACTCATTGTTTTGCTTAAAAGGACATGTAAGTTGCCATCATTGTCAAAGTGTTGATTACATGTTAAATTCATAGGTAGTACTAATAAAAACAGACAGCAGGAAAAGTGTGATGTGGTGGAGAACTCTGCTTATGGTGTCCATGTTCAAGGCTCAGCTGGTGATAGACTGGAGCCAGACTACAACATGGAGAACAACCCACTGTATGAGATGAGGATACTCTCAAATGAGGGACACTCACACAAGACACAAACACCAGCTCCAGTCCCTGTGTATGAGACTGTTGACAGTGCTGCCTTTTAAGTTTTTTTCGGAAAATAGACGGAAATGTTGTCATGTTTACCCTTTTAAGTGTACACATCTTATCACTATACAGTATTTTGTTTTCGCCTGCGACTGTCATGCTTTGCATTGCGAATGTGACGTAATACTTATGACTTTCACACTAATAAATCTTTTGCCCACATAGTTCAACCGGTAAGCACTCACACAAAAACTAAACTGGCTAGGATTTTAGTATTGGTTTTGAATCTTTTGAGGCATGCACGTTTGAGACCACAGGTTATGAAAGACTGTAGCTTGCCAGTGAGTTATCTAATCACCTTATCTCACTGTGGCAGGAGGTAAACAGGCACAGATTTTACACAACATTCAACGTGCTACAAAACCTCTGCAAATTCATGATTGAAAGTAAGTTGTCAAGCGAAGCAAGCTTTTCTAGTCATTTAAGTGCAGATATTATTGTGTGATGGAATCCCTACACAAGCAGCCATAGTTAATAATTAGTTAATACATATAGAATGACTAGAAAACGAAAAATGTTTTATAAAGCCGCACTGTCAACAGTCTCAAACAGTAAAATAACCTTCCAGTTCATTCGTGCAACGGAACCAGCGTAACCGCTTTCTCTCGGTGGCGTCGTAAGTGTCAAGCTTCTCTGACAGTTAGAAACTGACACTTTGAGGGGAAGTGAGAGGCCCTTCAAGGTCAACCGCGATGGTAATCTTTCTCATCTTCTATAGCGGAGTCTTACTGACAGGTGAGCATAATACACTTTTGTCATCATTAATCAAAGTTTCATTCATCCTTAGTGTGGGGACAACCAACTCTATATCCTCTGTCTATCCATGCCTGTCCAAATGAGACAGTGACATGCTATATTGTCATGGCAGTCAGATCAGTGTCATTGCATGGGAAGTACCACCTTACATCACAAGGACAGACATGAACTATATACAATTCGTTCCGGAGCCTCCTCGGAGGAATCCCCTCTGTACATAATGTGGCTCGTGAGAATAAATTCTTTGCTAACCTCACTAATATCACGAGGTTGAATGGTAGTGTGGCAGACATGAACTAATAGTCTGATGATCATCACACATGGGATACAGAATGAGACAAGCATTATCTGTCTAGTGGCTAAAGGAGGTTCTGTGTTTCACTCGTCCTCCACACTTTATTTTGCAGATCAGATTCAGTGGTACACCGTTCACCCAGTATAACACAAAGTCCTACTACCCAGAGTCCTTCTAGTGGTTTCTCAGTTGTTACAACAAGTGGAAAAATCATTTCTTCAAAATGAAAGGGGGATATAGGGATGGTTTGAAGCACCAAAAAGGAAGAAACAAGGGGTTATTACACAGCAAAGATGCACAAAGCTACATGACACCATCCCTATATCTTTGTCTGATATTAAACTTTACTTCAAGGTAAACTGTTGCAGAGTGGAAATGACGGAGACGTCAAGCGCGGCTCTTTCCCAATTAGGGAGGAAAATGTCAGCAGGGCGAGATTGGTTGTGAACAATAACACAAAGATATAGGGATGGTGTCATGTAGCTTTGTGCATCTTTGCTGTGTAATAACCCCTTGTTTCTTCCTTTTTGGTGCTTCAAACCATCCCTATATCCCCCTTTCATTTTGAAGAAATGATTTTTCCACTTGTTTCCACTATTTTTCACGCCTTATGACAACACTGCATTTTCAGTCACTCTGATGTTCATGGGTGTTGTAGAGATAACTGTTGAAAGCAGAAGTTAATGGGCTGCTCCTACCTGAAGCAGGGTGTATGCGTAGTGTCTCCAACAAGGATGCAATTAGATTGTGGCACATATGGTGGGGTGGTTTCATAGGCAGGCTTCAGTAATCAGACTATAATGATAGCTATAACCTGGGGGACAAAGAATGAAGGCGCTGTGCAAGGCCCGCGTAACACGGCGCACACGGCCAAGTTGCTCCTCGTGCAAATCAACAGCTAAACGCAAGCTAGCCAGTTAAAATGTGTATACTGACTTACAGAAGGCACTGGAGGATAAGAATTCCTCTGCAGGCTAGGCATCCTGGCTTAGTCTCGTGCACCAGGTTCACGCACGAAATGCGCGCGCACCGCATTGGGGAAACGCCCTCCTCGGCGCATGCGGCTCACTGATGCTGAGTTAGCAGCAAATGGCGTTGTTCAGTGACTACCGTGGAAGAGCTCAATGATCTACCGTAGTGACTTGCGGCAAGAAACAAGCGATCGCTTGATATGCGTGCACACCTCCGGAAAATTTGGAGACGTTCTGTGAAAAAACCAACGCTTCAACTGCTTCCGGTAAGGAGCTAGCGGGTTTGACGAAGAAGAAGAAGATGAAGAATATTATTATTATTATGATGACACGGAAATCGCGAAATCGCGTAAGTGCGAATTCTCTGGTGGGGAACTGAGGGCACGTAGGAAGTCTTGGGGCATATGTATAGCTAGGTATTGGCCTCTAGACTATTGCTAGTGATTTTGAAGCCATGGTGAGTCATTCTCGCTGAGTTTTGAGGCGTTTTGTACGCGGATCACGTGAGATTTCACTCGTGTCATCCCTATATAGAGCGTCTACCGACGCTCTGATAGTAGTACCAGCTGTACTTGCTTGTGCACTTACAGCCATCACAATACACTCCATTGTCATGCCCTTACTGATAATCTACAGACATTGTAAGTTGTCATTTCTACTCAAATGTTTGTTCTGCAATGTCATTATTATTATAGGTACTAATAAAAACAGACAGCAGGAAAAGTGTGATGTGGTGGAGAACTCTGCTTATGGTGTCCATGTTCAAGGCTCAGCTAGTGATAGACTGGAGCCAGACTACAACATGGAGAACAACCCACTGTATGAGATGAGGATACTCTCAAATGAGGGACACTCACACAAGACACAAACACCAGCTCAAGTCCCTGTGTATGAGACTGTTGACAGTGCTGCCTTTTAAGTTTTTTTCGGAAATAGACGGAAATGTGGTAATGTTTACCCTTTTAAAAGTGTACACATCTTATCACTATACAGCATTTGTTTTCGCCTGCGACTGTCATGCTTTGCATTGCTAATGTGATGTAATACTTATAACTTTCACACTAATAAATCTTTTGCCCACATATTTCAACCGGTAAGCACTCACACAAAAACTAAACTGGCTAGGATTTTAGTATTGGTTTTGAATCTTTTGAGGCATGCACGTTTGAGACCACCAGGTTATGAAAGACTGTAGCTTGCCAGTGAGTTATCTAATCACCTTATCTCACTGTGGCAAGATGTAAACAGGCACAGATTTTACACAACATTCAACGTGCTACAAAACCTCTGCAAATTCATGATTGAAAGTAAGTTGTCAAGCGAAGCAAGCTTTTCTAGTCATTTAAGTGCAGATATTATTGTGTGATGGAATCCCTACACAAGCAGCCATAGTTAATAATTAGTTAATACATATAGAATGACTAGAAAACGAAAAATGTTTTATAAAGCCGCACTGTCAACAGTCTCAAACAGTAAAATAACCTTCCAGTTCATTCGTGCAACGGAACCAGCGTAACCGCTTTCTCTCGGTGGCGTCGTAAGTGTCAAGCTTCTCTGACAGTTAGAAACTGACACTTTGAGGGGAAGTGAGAGGCCCTTCAAGGTCAACCGCGATGGTAATCTTTCTCATCTTCTATAGCGGAGTCTTACTGACAGGTGAGCATAATACACTTTTGTCATCATTAATCAAAGTTTCATTCATCCTTAGTGTGGGGACAACCAACTCTATATCCTCTGTCTATCCATGCCTGTCCAAATGAGACAGTGACATGCTATATTGTCATGGCAGTCAGATCAGTGTCATTGCATGGGAAGTACCACCTTACATCACAAGGACAGACATGAACTATATACAATTCGTTTCAGCTCCTCCGGCAGGAATCCCCTCTGTACATAATGTGGCTCGTGAGAATAAATTCTTTGCTAACCTCACTAATATCACGAGGTTGAATGGTAGTGTGGCAGACATGAACTAATAGTCTGATGATCATCACACATGGGATACAGAATGAGACAAGCATTATCTGTCTAGTGGCTAAAGGAGGTTCTGTGTTTCACTCGTCCTCCACACTTTATTTTGCAGATCAGATTCAGTGGTACACCGTTCACCCAGTATAACACAAAGTCCTACTACCCAGAGTCCTTCTAGTGGTTTCTCAGTTGTTACAACAAGTGGAAAAATCATTTCTTCAAAATGAAAGGGGGATATAGGGATGGTTTGAAGCACCAAAAAGGAAGAAACAAGGGGTTATTACACAGCAAAGATGCACAAAGCTACATGACACCATCCCTATATCTTTGTCTGATATTAAACTTTACTTCAAGGTAAACTGTTGCAGAGTGGAAATGACGGAGACGTCAAGCGCGGCTCTTTCCCAATTAGGGAGGAAAATGTCAGCAGGGCGAGATTGGTTGTGAACAATAACACAAAGATATAGGGATGGTGTCATGTAGCTTTGTGCATCTTTGCTGTGTAATAACCCC